TGCCCGCCAATTGTCACCACATAGGAATGTGGGTCTTGGGTGGCCACATATTTTGATTTTTTTCTAGAGAAGCCAGAAATTTGGATATTTGCATGAGAGTTCCTGATGTTGTAAAGTAATAGTAAAAATCCTTGTGCACAAACTATGTCTGTGAGCTAGACGTAGCTTGTGAACTGCCAGTTTGCAACCTCTGGATGGAAGATTGAGTTAGATATGAATTTATCTTGGGGGCTGTGGAAAGGGAAAGTTGTTATTTATCTTTTTTTTTTTTTTTTGACCTTTTTGTTTTTAATTTTATCTCAGAGAGGAAAGTACTGTCATTTTGATGGCAGGTTCCCCTGTGTTTTTGTTTTAATGCAAATCCCTGATAGAAATCTTTTTTTTTCCCTTTTGTTTTTAACTTCACATGAACAGAATCGATTAATCACTGTCCTCGCTTATGATATGATCTCATCATCGATCTGTGTATGGCATCATTTTTTATTTATTCTTTTTTGATAACACAGTTAAGTACTCTAACCCATCACTCAGTCTGAAAACTGAGATCTTGTTAATCACCTTCATCCGCCTGTGGACTGCCCCTCTAAGCTTCCCTCTGCATCCCCACACCGAGGTAACCATGTCCTGTGTCCATGTTCATCACTCCTTGTTTTCCTTTTTACAGTTTTATCTTGTCTAGATGTTTTCTTAAGAAGGCTTTTTTTTCTATCCAACTTTATGTATGTATGTATGTGTGCATGTATGTATCTGTCTATCTATCCATCCATCCTCTATCTATTGGTTTTAGTTAGGTTTTAACTTTATAAAAAGTATTATACTTTATATAATCTTTTGGGCTTTCTTTTTTCTATGAATAGATGCTAAGACTCACCATTTGGTTTCTTGCTGCTCATGGTTCTTTCACTGAGTCTTGTGTAACATTCCACCATGAGAATATTCTACAGCATATTCATCCACTCTCCTGTTTCTGAGAACTTGTCTGTTTTCAGGTTATGTGAATGGGGCAGCCGAGTGGTTCACGTGTTCCCGGGTGCACATGAGCAGGAGTTTTGTCACTTAGGGGTGGAATCTCTAGTATATCACAGTGTATATGAATGGTCAATTTTAAGTGTTATTGCCAAAGTTTTTTCCACCGAGATTATACCAGTTTACACTCCCACAATCAATACAGAAGTGAGCCACATCCTAACACTTGGTGTTGTCAGACTTTTTGATTTTTGGTAATTAAGTGGGCATAATCATTGCAGCCTTGATTTGCATTTCTCTTATGACTACGAGGCTAAATGCATTTTATATGTTTACTGACTGTATTTTCTCTTTCGTGATATGATGGCTCATGTCTTTTGTACATTTTCCCAATGCATTGTTTGTGCTTTTCTTGTTGATTTCTAAGAATTCTTTGTACACCCTTGATACTAATCCTTTGTTGGGTATATTTTGTAAATCTCTTTTCATGTGGCTTTTGATAAACAAATGCTCTTAGTTATAATGTAGTCGAAATTATCCATCTTTTATTTTATAGTTACCATTTTTGGGGTCTTATTTAAGAAACCCTTCCTGACTACAAAATCATAAAGATATCATCCATGTTTTCTATTAATAATGTACTTATCATTTCCCTCTTTTAAAAAATCAGGTGCAGGGAACAAATCTGATCTCTGTTCGGTTTTTGCTAGTTGGTGGCAGATTAGACTTGGTGTGAAGTCATGTTTTCTATGACTTAAAATGTGTTTTTAGTGCTCTATGGGTCTTCACCACTTAAAAGGGGTCACCTCTGGTGGTGTTTCCAGACTTTACTTCATGTTGTGTCTGCAGCCACAAAATGGGGCAGGTCCCTCATAAAGGTCATGGGTTTTCCATGCATTTCTAGGGTCCCTGGGATGAGGTAAATGGTGTTTGCTTTATGCTGTGGTGGGTTGTACTGGTTCTTCTTGGCTAGTGAAGGCAGGGATCTCCGAGGGGCAGCAGCAGCACTGTGTGAAGACTGGGTGTCCAGGTCAGCTGAAGTTCCCCCATGTGCTGGGTCATTCCCACTGGCTGCTACATTATTCGCAGGAAGAAAAGCAAAAGTGTTCTAAAGCAGCAGGCTGCTAAGCACAGACATGTGCCTGCACAAGGGAGCAAATGCACCAAGCCTCTTGCCACCCATTAGCCAGGAATAGCAGGGTTTGCACCCTCTCAAATGCTGGCAAAATGGATGCCTGATGGCAACTGCTGTGGGGATGGGCCCATATGGAAGAATAGGTCTAAAATAAGCAAGACCTGTCCCCTGGCCTGTCAGTGTCAAAAGCTTCTTAGCCACAAGCTCAGCAGCTCACAAATGCTCAGTTTTTTGTATTCCAACCAAGGGCTGCTGTGAATCCCTCACACAGAGCCCTTTTGTTCTGGGGCAGAGGTGTAACTAGGAATGTGGGGTGGAGGTATAACTGAAAGTCAGAATGCCACTGCCTCTGGTCGTCTGTCCTCCCTTCAAACTCCAAGAACTCCTATCCTTCCCCAAAGCTATGCCCTCAAATCCTGGCTGCTGCCTGAAGGACACAGGTGAGTGAGCAACACGAGGTGCTGGCAAGTGGCAGTAACCCTCATCAAGGCCGCAGAACACAGGGGTCATGGCTTGCTCTCCCTGACATCCTCCACCCTCTCACTCAGCCTCTGGCTGGGGTGGACTTTGCACTCCCCTCCACCTCGTGGCCCTCATTTTGGGGCTAGCTGCAGTGCTGACCCATAGTTCCATAGTCCCTGCAGGCAGACGGGGTGGTCCTCACAGGCTGGAACTAGAGTTCCTGAATCTTCTACGGCTCCTTCTTCTCAAATTGAAATAAACTGTCTTGTCCCTGGACCCCAGCCCATGTCTGCTCTGGGTTGAAACCAAAATCCAAGAGAAAAGGCAGTTTCAGTAGTGAGCCCAATGCTATGATTTCCATTTTGGGTGGGTGCATGTCCCTCCTGGTGTGTATGCATCTATAAAATTCAATACAGGCTCCCCATTCGATGTCCTTATTCTTGGAGTGCTGCATGAGGGACCCTAGAGAGCAAGATCCCACGATCTGCATTGTGGATTCACAGATGTACACTTGACTTCCCCGTCCTTTGTGTCCAGGACCCTGAGCCAGCAGGCATGCTGCCAACTGCTCCACGAGGGCCCAGGGTCAGGGGGATTTGCTTTAGTTTCCTGCATGGCTTTGGGCCTGAGTTCCCATTTGCTTCTGTTGGGGGAGGGGTTAAGCTTCCACTTTGGGGAACTTCTCCAGTCTCAGCTGCCAGTTCCATCCCAGAAGTGCTTGGTCCCAGGAGCAGACTTAAGGACTCATTCCTCTGTGTTCGAGGTGCCACCTCTTTGCACAGAATAAAGGGCATCCTAGGAGAGCAGTTTCTCCAAAGCACACCTGCCTCTCATTCCCCATGCACATCATGCCAGGGTCAGAAGCTTCCGGATCGGAACCTGACTGAACTGCACTTGTAGAGGAGTCTAGTTTTGGTGATGGGAAGCAACTCCCCAGATCCCTGTCCCCTGGAGTGATCTGACACAATGTCAGTCCATCACCAACACATCTTCTCCATTCAATCTGGTGTCTTGGAAGTGCCTTTTTCTTTTCAAGCACAGAGGGCCAGTATTTAACATGACATTAGCCTGCTGCAGTATTGAGTTAACTATAAAAAGAGATGATCCTTCTGGACAGAATCACTATCCATCAGACAAAATGATTAAATTTACAGCTCGATTGGTGCTGATCAATATAAATGAAATGTGAAACAACTTAATGTATCCACCAGAAACAGTGGTCCCGAGGTTTTCTTCACACAGGCGTCCCAGTATCAGCTCCACACCAGGAGTCTCTGCACACGTGGGATTGTTGCTGCCGAAATGTGAAACAACTTAATGTATCCACCAGAAACAGTGGTCCCGAGGTTTTCTTCACACAGATGTCCCAGTATCAGCTCCACACCAGGAGTCTCTGCACACGTGGGATTGTTGCTGCTTTGCGCTGGCAGTGAAGCATGTCTCTTCTGTTCACAGCTCTTCAGCCAGAGCTGTGGCCTCACCTGCCACAGGATGCCAGAACATGGAGTCCTACCATGGGCATGGCCAGCAGAGAATGGAGGTATTTGATGAGCAATATCAATGACAACCACGCTTGTTTGAAAGCAGGTATAAAAATCTGGCTAAGTTTTATGGGGCCGGCCCAGTGGCGCACAGCTACAGTGCGCCGCTTGGGAGTGCGGCGGCGCTCCCGCCGAGGGTTCAGATCCCACATACAGACCGGTTCCCGCTCACTGGCTGAGCGAGGTGCGGGCGCAGCACCGAGGGTTGCGATCCCGTTGCTGGTCCCGGTCCGGTACGGGCGCGACACTGAGGGTTGCGATCTGTTGCCGGACATGAAAAAAGACAAAAAGGAAAAAAAAAAAATCTGGCTAAGTTTTAAATGAATCCAATGGATCTGGCTATTTATTGGGATCTTGTTATGGAATGAAGAATAATAGCCGCTAGGCATGTCAGTTTCTTTAAGAAATGTATAACCTGCTGCAAACCCATGTATTTCAGAGGCATCTAGAGATGGCTCTAGATCTAGATGCATGTTGAAAGTGTGTGGAATGCCTCATCTTCTCTCCAAATTCCCTCTTCAAACTAGCAGTGAAACCAACAACAGTAAATGCACCTTGATGTTTAATCTCCAAGTGGGCAAATGCCCTGCACAATTAATTTGAACCCAGAGGGGAAAGAGTGGTTCTTGACTGATTATCACCCCTCCTCCTAGTGACCTCTTTTCCTCCGGGATCCAGGAGGAAGGATTCCTCTCACTCCTGCCTCCATGAGGTCTCCTGTCCCTAAGGGAGCCTGGGTAAGTGCTCCCATCTGCTCAGTGCGTCCTCAGCCAGGTGTCCTCCATGCTGGGTTGACATCCAGTCTACAGTGCAGCTGGTGTCAGAGAACAGGAGGTTATGGCATCTGGGCTGCAGTTGGGCACCAAGGCTTAATATTTATACATGGCTGTAGAAAGTTTATTTCAAAGTCATTTTTTATTCAACTGTTATTCAGCAATGTACAATACAGTTTATAAACAAGTGTCTGACCTTGTTTCCAATCTTTATTTAAAAATAAATATTATTGACAGTGAATTTTAATTATGATAAGATGTGTCTTTTTTAATCAAAATGTCTCAAAAGAAATAATTTAATAAAAAAAGAAAAGCCCCCAAACAAAAAAAGTAAATTAAAAAAATCCTAAACACAATAATCTACTAAAAATATTTTGCTTTGTCAGAAAGGCTTTGACCCAACATTTTAACCTATTATCCTAAAGATAATTGCTCAACAGTTCGTGCAAAATAAAGACTTGGAGGAAAAGCGTAAAAAAGAAAAATACATTGAAGTAGAGAAATCATTGGTCCCATGCATACTGCATGGTCCAAACTCCATCTTATTTGGAAACTAGATGCATTATTTTAGGTGTTCTACATTTGTGTAACTTCCTCAAAAATATGATTTATTTATTTTCCACGTAGGTTTTTTCATGCTTCTCTCAGTCTCTGTGTGTCCATCTGGTGACGTGGTCCTCACCGAGTGTCCGGGCAGGTTTTGTGTGTCCTCTAAGCTGCTCGGTCTGTCAGTGCCCCACCAGCAGGCGCAGGAATTTATGCAGAGCTAACAGGAGCAGGGACAGGAGCGGGTCTGCGGCATAGCTAGGGCCAGTGCCTGTAGGGGACAAGAAAACAGGCTTGATTAATACCCGATTCACAAGAATCTAGCAGCTCATGGGCAGACTAGGGGAACCAAGGGACAGGGAGGCTTCCCTAGGCTTAGGCCAGCTAGAGGCTTGTGCAAGATGGCTGCTTTGGTTTGTTATTTACAGGCTACTCACTTTAGGAGCCTTCTGTGGTCAGACACAAGGTGCCTCTTGCCTGAGAGGGATGTGCTAGATGGTAGTCCTAGAGTCCAAGTCATTACATTATTTTAATAAAAAGATGACATGCTTCCCCCACCCCAAATACTACACTACGTAGTGTCCTCAGCATTTAAGGCCCAGCTTCCCCTCCTGCTCCATGAATGCACACACTTCCACCCTTTGTGTGTGCCCTCTAACCCCCTGCCCAAACTGCACAACTGAGTATTTGCATATGCCCTGTCTTAGGCATCCTGATGTTCCTGTGTGTGGGTCTTCTTTCCACAACAAGATTGTCAGTCAATGCCCCTGGCTGCAGTGGGGAGCTCAGAAATCACTGGTTGGCAGGGATGGGTGAGCTAGGGTCCATAATGCATGATCCTAGCACTGTCTGGGTCACTCCCACCTGCTTGTCCAATGCGACCACTAACCTGGGTCCCTGGCCTGTCACCGAGGCTGTAACACCTGTGACTCCATCCTGCCCCACCTGGGCCTCCCACCTGGTTCCCCATCTGCTTTCAGGGTCCTCATCTGTAGCGAGGCCCCCTGTGCAACTGGGGAAAGCCCACCCATGAACCCCAGATTTCTCACCTAGAAACCACGATGCTCCCTCCAGGGTTATGAGAGGAGCAAGTGTGGAAGTGTCACTCCTGGGTGCTGCCCAAACCCTCGGAGACATCAGTGCTAACTCAGAGTCCCTTAGAGTCCAGCCCTACCCTGCTCACCTGTACCACCTGGAGGCCTCTCTCCTCCCTTCACTGACCCAGCCAGCCAGACTGAGATCTGCATCCAGGAAGGGGGTGCATGAGGCCCTTCCTGTGTCGACACCAGCCACTTGCTGCCAGGACAGCCAGTTCCCCCCAGCCTCAATGCAGTTTGTGGCTTCCCTGACAAGGCTGAGCATGAATGCATGACTTCCTTTTCTTTCCAAGTGGAAGCACTATTTCTTTTAAATGCAAGGTGTTTCCCCCACTCCCCAATCATTCTTGTTCTGGCCATAACTGTCTGTGTCTAGAGTTCATGTTCTGGGACCCCGTCTCCCTTTGCAGAAGGAAGGGGTTAGACCAATGATTCAGCTTGAAATTCTGGGATTCCATCTGTCTGTTTTGGAAAGCAGGCTGTGTTTAAACACCTCAATGAAAAGGGGGCAGGGCATCCGCTGTGCATGCCTCTGGTCCACAGTTAATCGTTTCCGCACATAGTTCTGGGCCCCTGCTGAGAAGCTTGAGGACAGGACAAATCCAAATGTGCTAACCTTCCTCTTCAGATCTTAATTTTTCAGGAAGTCATCACTCCTGGCCCTCCTGCAGCTTGGCTCAGTTGTTGCTCTGCCTCTGGCCATCCGTCAGTGGGAAAAATTGCAGTGCGGTGGTCACTCCAAAGACCCGATCCTCTTTGGCCATTCCTCATTGTCACGCATCACTGGGAAGGATGAGGGGTAGGTGTGGTGATGGACAAGTCAACGGGTGGCCAGGTGCCTGGGTGGGATTCACTGAGGCTCAGGTTTATGGAAAACAGGGATCTGGCCAGCAGAGCAAAGCACTGCCTCCTGGGCATTCAGAGCTCACACGGCCAGACTGGGCCCATGGGCCTTCTAGATCTCCTGCTTGGATCTTTATGCTCTTGCAAACCTAACCCTCAGGCAGGTGCAGGTGAGACAGAAACAACCCACGTGAGGTGTTTACAGGCAGATGTACTTGTGCAACAGGACTCCAGACCTGCAAGATATGCAGTGGCAGGAGAAATGGATATGGGCTGGTGAGCCATGCAAGGTGAACCTGGCCTGGTGGCTTGTGGAACTGTGGGCATAGGAGAGGTGAGGAATTTAACAGTTTACTCAATTGTAAAAGTTTGGAGATTGAACAAGACTTTCAAAAGACTCTGTATTGAAACACCAGCCTGCCACTCTGGGCTGGGCCAGGCAGAAGTAGCCATGGCAGCTCCTGGAGGCTGATGTCTGGCGAGGGTGGAGACTAGGGTCTGCAGTGTTCCTGCTGGTGGATGTCTGTGCAGGTGGCCAGGGTTTGGCTGCTTATTCTCTCCCTGGCCCAGCATTGCTGGGGGTGAGATGGGGGGTTATAGGGGAAGAGCCAAAGTAACTAGTTTGGGGTCGTGGGCTTGCACTGAGGAAATGGGTTCTCAAGCCTAGCTCTGTTGCCAGCTTACTGTGTGAACCTAGGCAACACCCTTCATGTCTCTAGGTCTTGTGTTGCTCCCCATAAAAGGCAGATGTGCATGGCTCCATAAAATTAATGTGTGCCTGGCCTGTCTCACCAGGCTGGAGTCTAGATTAAGCAATATCATGGTGGCAGATTACAAAAGTGGCCACAAGATCCCCTCCCTCCATCCCCAGCATCCACACCCTATGATAGCACTCCCCCACACTGACTCTGGGCTCGGGCACGTGACTTGCTTTGGCCAGTGCAATGTTATCAGGTGTGAAACAAGTGAAGGCTTGAAACGTTCTTGTGCAGTGAGGCTTGCTCTCTCTGTTGTGGCTCTTGAAGCCTACCACCATGTGAACAATCTGGGCCAGGCTGCTGAAGGATAAGTGCCATGAGATGTTCTAGCTGAAGTCCCTCTAGACTAACCAGCCCCCAACTGAACTGGCAGCTGATCACAAATGGATGAATGAGCCCAACCAATACCAACAGAAGAACTGCCCAACTGAGCCCGGCTAAACTGCTGGACCACAGAATCATGAGCTGAATGAACAGTTGTGATGTTTCACCAAAGACACTGAGTTTTAGTGGCTTTGCTGCATAGCAAAAGCTAACCAATACAAGCATGTAAACAAAAGTGCCTCAAACAGAGTCCAGTGCCATGCAAATAGATGTCATCACAAAGAAAACATAGCTACTTCTTTGAAAAGAGTTGAAGAAGAACTACTTTTGGGGGTGTCCTTCTCTCAAGACGAAATTTTTCCAAAATTGTACAGACAGGGCAAACTATCTCCTCAACCACTTATTTTAAGACATTCCCAGATCTTTGGTAAAAAAAGGACCCAGGATTTGGATCCTTTTTACTACACTATTGATCAGACATACAGTCTCACTGGGTTTCCCGAATGGATCAGGGCAGACCAAAAAGGACTGGCTTCTAGGATAGCCCCGGAGGAAGTGGGATCTTCACACTAGCAATGGTTTAGAATTCCGGAGTCCTGCAGCCTAGTGTCCACCCTGCCCAGGTATTGTCTTCTTCAAGAGAGATTGACTACTGGCTAACACTTGGCCTCTGGGCCTCCTCAACATCTGCTGCTCGAGTTCCTGCCTCATGACTTGGGCAGCCCGGACTGTCCATGCTGTCTGGGCTGATAGGTCCCAGCTCACCATGACCCTACAGAGCAGGGTCCAGAAGGTGCATTTGGAGGAGCTGAGATGAGATCTCCTTCATACCCTTGTGGTCTCTTTTCTTATGTGGTGTAGAGACATCTGCGTTCCTAGGGGCATTAGTCTGAGCAGGCTGGCTGGCACAGAGGCAGCTGCATTGATTGGATGCTAACAGTCTCTTTATCTATTTCTTCCTTTCCTAAGGAGTACCAGGAATAGCACCAGAGCAGGCAGAAGTTTATCTGTCATGATTAAGCTGGAAAATCAGGCTGCTTGGGAGGCGAGGGAAGTCCTGTAATGTAGCTGATTCATTCTTTATATGACACAAGTATTACCATTTTGCAAATCATTCTTAAAGAAATCAAAGCTTCTCTGGCTCAAGATTAAGATAGCAATTAAGATATTAATTTTATCTTTTAGATGGTGAACAGGATAAGGGACACACTGGAGCCATTTAAAAGAGACCCTCAAAGAACACAATGGCACATCCATTCCTGCTTTCCCCCACCTACCCCTGCGGGCACACCAAAGGTGCCAGACCAAGCAGGCTTCTGACTGGGAAATTCCTCATTTCCATTTATCCCGTGAAAGCACAATTCCAAAGCCCTGCCAGAAAACAATATGGAAGCTTTGTGGCTATTTAATGCCTTGGGATAAAAGTAAAGGAGGAGGCTTTGTTCAGGTCAGCCTCTGTGACCCACGCTCTGCCCACACTGTCTGAAGGCTAAGCTTGGGAGTTAGGGAGGGTATGTAGGGTGGTGGCTTGTCATCCACACTGTGACCTAGACTGAACATGGGGTCTCTGGTCTATGCTGTGGGACAGAGTGCAGAGGGGTCCACCCTCACCCTGTGGGCATCAGGATCACAGTAGGCTCCCCACACCCCACCCCTGCCACTGACCAGCTGGGACAGTAGCCAGGGCAGCTGCTACTCTCTCTCCACTTGCTCTGCCCACCCTTTTAGTATCAAGGATGGTTTCCCTGTGCCTTGAGGGTGGTCTGCAGCACGTGTCATGAGGCTGTGGATAGGAGTGAGCTGCAGCCCCTCTCCATTGGGGGTTAAGGAGCCTCCAGACCTGCCAGCTCTGGTTCAGTCTCCATTGGAGGCCTGCTGGTGACCTACCTGAGAGCTTCAGCTGAGGGGCTGGCCTGGATCAGGGGTTTGCAAAAAAATACCCCTTAGAGTAAGAGGGTATTTTCAGAGTTGCTCACAGGTGCTTTAATTTTTTTTTTCTTCCCCCGAGGTTTGAGAACAGTAAGTAAAATTTAAGCTGGCTCTGCACACAAAAATGGTGGTCTGGCTTTTGCAGCCTGGCTAAGTTGGAGGCTCATGTTGCAGGTTGACACTAACGCTTTGCCTGTCTTTGACGCACATTCTCCAGTATTGCACAGAATATTCACACACTGAGTACAAGTAGCCAGAGAAGAACTATTACAGGGATAGACACTGTCCAGTTTCAATGGATAAAGCCATTCCAGCAGTAAGCTTGGATATCCTAACATGAGGCCCATGACGAGGAGCTGGAGGACAGGC